CGAGTCTCTCATGCAGCAAGAGGGTTTAAACACACAAATGGTTATTGTGGCGTATGATAAGGTTTGTGCAGCCCTTCATTTTACTTAGTGTGAGAATGGTGCTATTGCAGGAGTATCCAGAAAACGCAGAGTTGTCATCCCTTTTCCATGTTAGGTCGCTACCTGTCAATGCTTCTGATGGATATGGTTGTACGTATTTCCTTTGAACCTCTGTTTGGAAAAGAATAGTGTTTTTCAGCTCTTATTTTGTCAGCCCTTTCCGCAGCATTTGCCGTTTTTCCATCAGCTACAGCTGTGGCTGTAATTGAAGAAGACGTAAAGTTGTCGCCGGACTGGTTATATTATCTATCTCAAACCTTGCCTACTTTACTATCAGACGCTTCAATCGATGTAATACATACATTTAACCCTAACGGTGAGGATTTCCATTCTTTCTTCGGAGATCATCCGTCATAGGATGTATCTGCAATATAGCACTTTATTTTAGGATTTACTGACACCAGTGGAAACCTATCTTTAGTTTATCGTGTCGGATTTCAACCTCCACTATTCTCATATGTAATAACTCGAAAAAAATACGAACAAGAAATCAAGAACAAATATGGTTAGTCTGCAAATTGCCTTTTTAATTGTGAGATTGAGGTGCCGAGTTATTATAGACTGCTGTGTTAATCCTGGCCGCTGGTTTTGGTCATCTTCTTCTTCACTAGTCCCCGACGTCTCCAGGATCGGTGTTGCTCACAATTTGCTTATTCGTGATCATTGGTCCAACGCGTTATTTGTGCGACCGCGAAGAATGAGGTATGCCCACATTCTCATATTTTTCACAATATATCCTCTCAAGTTCCATTATACTCATTGATAAATAGTTCGTTGAGGAAACAAGATCCCAACTAAAATGCTGTTAGGTTTTTGCGATTTCTATAGAATTTTAAACGGATTTGTGGACTCGAAGCGAAGTAAGCTCTATACAAGTCAATAAATTCTTCACGCCATTTGATTCAACAAAATCGGGTAACATGTGCTCATCTACTTGGTCTGGCCTTAGACAAGAGGAATTTGTGTCCTTGCATCAGCATAGACAAGAGGAATTTGTGTCCTTGCATCAGCATGATAACCCTTGGAAGGTAGTTCATCTCTCAAGGTGTTCTTTGTCGGCAAAGTTCCACAACACCTAGTTCCAAGCAGTCAGTATAAGACTACGTACTTCACAAGCTTTTATTTGTAGCTACAGGCTTTATTCTCATTAAAACGTTTGCGCTTCAAAAGAGACTATCTTTTCAGAAGAAAAATTTGGACTTCCTAGGTTGTACGTTGAACAGAGAACAAAATGCTTTTGATTTATACATGTAGATGATACAGAGTCAAATAAGTCTTCTTATAGCCAACGAGTACGCGCTCCAAGCAGTTCTCCGCATATCACAACTTCAGGTTAAATATAATTAGGAAATTCCGAAATTATATAAATAGTTGAATTCACTGTGTTTACACCTAGGTTTAGTAACAAACGAAATCGCGCCGTAGGAAAGCAAATTCCCCTCACTCCCTCGCCTCTCTTCTTCCATTCAGTTAGATCTTCGCACACATTGGTATTGGCTTTTTTATAGTGAGGAAAGCGCTATGATCAGTCGGGATTTTGAAACGGAAATTACTTATGATCGATCTATCTCGTCACAAAGCAGAGCTGCTCCAAGAGTGGCACTTAGCAATGTTGTATGTGCGACGTGGCAGCAGCAAATAGAAGAAATTTCATTGGAAGCAAACAGGTGCGATGTTTTGTTCTGTCCCCTCAATATTTATGCCTTTCCTTTAGTACTTCTGTTGTCGTTACTTGCGGGGACGATGTTAGTGACTTGGCTCAAGCATCACAATGTTTTGGGTTATACTTTGATGAGCATTTTGTGACAGGAGTGTACAAACGAATTATAAGGTAGGTAATGTAGATCC